GATCATAACGTTATAGACACACCCATTAACTCGAGTCGATTGTGTGCCGTGTCTTCTTACATTAGACCTTGTATACCCGTGTCTTATCACTTCAAATAAATTAACACGGTGTAGTGTTCCTTGTGTTGTGCGTCCTTCAAGTCTCAATTATATATTTATATTTAATTGTATATACGACCCCAAGCCTATCTAACTTTTCGTTACAGTGCATAATGTGTGTATTTTGTATAAAAAAAAATCAGAAACAAAGCATGAGTAAAATGAGAGAAATATGAATTTGAATTATGTCCGAAAAATTTTCGATCATCCGTTATTTTAAACAATTATTCAACCAGAATGCTTACTTTTGCTACACAAATACAAATTATTAATGGTTTATTCATTCAACAAACTGTTTTCATGTTTCACAAAATTTGACCAGAATCTGGAGAAAGTGTCCCTTCCAGCCATGTATGTGGCGGATCCCTTTCAACAAAAACAACAAGCGATGTGAAGTAGCCATCGATCTGTGCAAGTACTTTTTGAAGACCATGCGAACAAAATATATTCTAAGGAGTTATTCAACCAGAATGCCTAATTTCGCTATACAAATACAAACTATTGATGGCTTATTCATACATTGTAATCGGAATGTTTCGCTGTTGGATTTGTTTGTGCGTGCTCTTCAAATCCGACGCAATCCTCGCACAAGTAGTGTGCCGTTTTCGCACATATATGGAAGCTGTGAATTTTATTTAATCTTTGTTGTGACAAAACACGCAGAACTATTTTACATCTATCTCTCTTTCCATTGATTGGGCAAAGCTTTTTATTGTAAGTTGTTTGCGAAGCGCACCTCTCTCACACGTCGCATTTAGCTAGCAAGCCATATTTACTCAAGGTAAGTCGAAGATGAAAGCTTTTGATGCGAATGAGTCGCAGCTTGTTTTCGAATGGTTTATGCTGAGTTGCAGATGCAGGTATGAATGTGTTATTGAAGATAATAAGTTTACACAGAACCGCCAAAGTTGAAACGATATCTCAGCAGATTTATGCTGATGCTGAACTGTTCGTCGAATGAGGATTGGTTTGCGATGTTTTGCAGTCTATCTCAAGATCGCACAACTCTGACCTTCATAGTGGCTTTACATGATGTCAACGATAGGCTTTTAGTTCATCTGTATTGTTGTTATCATTTTATGATACTAACTAACCAACTATCTATCTATCTATTTATATATTAATTTGAACAACAGAGTTATGAATCAAGTGATACCTGCACAACAAGCACGAGCATCTGCACGATCTGATCGCTTTTATACTCCAAAGAGTTCTTCTTTGACACTAGTACGCATTGTATGAAAATATTTATGCATCTTATGTAACTACTTTCATGATCGCATAAGCACAGCGGTCTGTGGATCTTGTTCTGGTTGTCTTGGGACGAAGTGTTGGCTGCCGAAAGATTTTTAGATGAGCAACGAGAGACATACAGCAAAATACTTGCTGAGAATGGACAACGGCGAAAAGGAAATTATACCGAAACAGCCATTAGTTTTATTACTAGAGCAGCTTAGCAAGAATAACGGTGCAAGTGTGATTTTCGTTTCGAAGTGAAGCGGGACTTTTAAACATTCAGTTGACTCCAAAGATAAGTTCAGTTTCGTTTGAACTTTTCAAAGAGCCAAAAGATTTACATCGGTTTAGTTGGAGGAAAACAGAAAAGGACTCCATATTCACCGTAATATTCAATAACATGAACGGATAAAATTATTATTATTAAATCAGGTTAATGATGTCATACATGCACATTTCATCTTATGTTTGAGTTGCTTTTTTATATTAATTTTTTGAAATATGTTCTGACATCATATTTCAAATCATTTGATCAGTTCCGATTAGATGTCTATTTTGAATTTCTAAGACTTTCTTCTAGTCTATGCTAGGGGACATATAAGAGGTAATGAAGTTATTCGAAGTTATTTAGGTGACGATGCCCTCTTGTTTACGTTTCGAGGTATACACATGAATACGTTGGAAATGAACCGGAGGTGCCACTAGACTTGAAAATTAATCTGTACATACCGATGTTAGAATTTTTTCTTTAGAATTGTCATCAAGCTAGGGTCTGAACTTTCCTTTTACAGTTAAGCAGAAGAGAAGTTGACTTCGGTACATGGAGCGGTTGAAGCAATGCATGAGATCAAGAATTATCAAGTAAAATAATAATGGTCCACAATAAAATAAAAACCTCACCTGTGGTTCGTATTAGCCATATCTGAGTACTCTCTAAATAATTTCCATGGAAGAGATAAAAAACGATTAATAGCTCATAATAATTTGTGACTAAAGTAAAAATCTATCATCAAATTCCGAAGGTTCATGTATGAGTACCATTTAGTGAAATTTGACATGATTAGTTATTCAAATACGCAAAAAAAGATATCAAATAGTCCTAATCCATTATGCGCTTAAACGTTTAAACACTTACCCTTCGATCTCCTATTCTCTATCCAATATTCCCCAAAATCCTTAAAACCTGAAGCCGATACATCTATACACCCTTAGACGCGCATAGCTTTACTTGTAAAGAAAAAAACAGTTATTAGAAGGACCTCAAAAATGTTTGACCAATTCATTTTCGAGAACACTAACACAAATATTTGCCATAAACAGCGGCGTATGGAAGCATTATTTGTCTTACAGAATCATGTGTGAACTTCATCATCGTAAATGATTCAATAAAAAGTGACCAAAAAACTAGTTTTTCACCGGTAAGCATTTAGAGATTGAACCGCATACACTGTTCCGAGCTATCGAAGAGCCCCTGAGAAATTGAAACGGAAATCGAACTTTCCGCTGAAATTCACACATGGTCTCATGCTGCATACAAATTCAACGTTTCTATTTTACTTTCCTTTTAGATATTCTCAGTAATACGACAGGTATGCTGACTGTGCTAACTGCTTTAATGTGAGTTACTCTTGATTAATGAGTAAATGCTGTAAAACTAGTTTTTATTGAATTGTTTAGGTGCATTATCAGTGTAGCAGGTGAAAACACTCATCATTTGTATCATCATCTCTTTACATTGATTATTAAACAGGAGAAATACCGACTAGCGTCCAATGTCAACCCTCGACATGTGGTACTCGAGCCGTACCGTGTTCAACTAACTCTGACTGCGAATGCTTGGCTATTAGTTCAAGCGTTGGTGGTGTATGTGCTGTTACGACATTCTCTTGCTCGAGTCTGACACCTTGTTCCAGTGACAACGTCGCGTGCACAGTGCCTTATACTGTCTGTGTTGTTAGCGCTCGCTGCAACAAGCCAATGTGTTATCCATTAGCACTCGCCGTCCCTCAGGTGTGTCCACCACTAAATTCAAGTGCAACAGCATCAAGAGTTTCTACATCTTTAGGTATTCGCTAATGACTTGTCTCTATCCGTGAATAAGAGTCTAATGTATCATCTTTACTATCTACGCACACCACTACGAATAGTTGTATCAGTAAGAGCCAGATAGTATGAAGATGATATTTTTGAGTAGGATAACGATTTTTTCGTATCAGAAATCCAAATCTTGGAACGAGAGGTTGTGGAAGAAGAAACGAAGTCTATAATTCCTATTGGTGAAAACTAATAAATTTCTTAACATTAGCGTAGTTCACCCCGTCGGACATGATGGGTGGTTATTTGCGCCCCTGAGTTCAACTTCACGAAATGAAATTTCTATGGGTGTTCAGAGTACCAGTCATTTCGTATCCGTAGCAGGTGTGATTAGATTGTGCCCTTGAAGGTAGCATTTAGTAGTACATAATTGAGCAGAAACTATAAAAATTCTTTTATGAACGATTTTTCGAAGTTCCTTGCGAACTAATAGTGTCAAAAACGACCATATGAGTATCTACACCAATGATATCTCTCTGTCGAAGAAAGTTTTGAGGCCATTACTATGTGAAACTTGAACTTGTTCACCATAGCACCAACAACAGCACGACCAATAACATCAACAGCGCGACCAACAACATCAACAACACGACCGACCACATCCACAACACGACCGACCACATCAACAACACAGCCGACAACATCAACAACACGACCGACCACATCCACAACACGACCGACCACATCAACAACACAGCCGACAACATCAACAACACAAATGAGTGAGTAGGCCATGTATGAAGAGTGTTTCACCAGAAGTCATGTAAGTTTAGATGATTTCCTTCATACCTCCCTGCATCCGAAATTTTCCAAGATCTATACTTCATGAAATCTCTAATCATCGATCTTAAATAATATTTCCAAAATTGTTACGGGTTTTAAGTGAGTCTCTAGACAACCTTCGATATTGCCAAAGCAGAATAATCATTTTGACCAATGGGGAAGGCGGATTTTGTGCTTTTATATTTTTAAATCTCAAATGGTATTTTGCTCTACACAGTAAAGCTCATCCTACGAATACACTAGCCCTTTTCTGAAGGAAGGAAGATGCCACTTGAATCTAAGAGAAATGTTGGTCTAAATCTTGTAACACTTAATCGATCCTTGACTTTGCCGATTAGTACATAAAGCATTACTGATTTCGTTCAATATTTTCGGCAACAACCTCTCTTACATGACGCCACAAAATCAGCTCAAAGTCAAGCATCACGGCTGTGGGTGTTCGCGTTGGAGTGACTGTAAGTGTGAGTCATATGAATACTTCACCCACACGCACATCCGCGCTCATACTCACACCCCTAGGCGATAGAAGAAAAAACTCCTAATATGGTAGAAAAATTATATTTACTGTTGTGGGCTTGTCCGCAGGTAACGCACTCACGTTTTGTCAAGTTTCGATTTGAATTTCTCTCTAACGGTAAAGCGTAAAGCCTGGAAACTTGGTGCACATATGCATCTTGCAAAGCTGTGCAACCACTATAAGTTTCACCTCGATCGGCTTTATCATTCAAATTTTACAAGGAAAATACAGGACAGTAACGCACTCACAAAAAAGGCCCTTCCCTTTCTTAGTGGTATCAGAAATGTTAAGATTCCTGCGAATGGTTCAGTTATTAAGAGATATGATTCATAGAAAGTTTGTAGCAGAAAATTAGGGCTATCTAATGGTAAAACAATCTTTTAAAAATATTGTGCTGCTTTAGGCCTGTAGTTAAAATACTACGGTAACGCACTCACGTTCTTGTAACGCACTCACTTTTTCGTATTCTAATTTTTTTTTCTGGTGGACTTGTTGTTTTCTCTCACACGTCAGACGTGTTAAAATAGCTTTCTTCGACTTTGGTAGCAAAATTATATAAGATTTCACAATACAAAATAGGATACGAAATAGTGTCGTAGAGCTAATGTTTGTGCTTCCATAACTGTTAGTATATCACAAGTACTTTTCCGTTATCTGTTAAATCACTCTTATAATCGATACTGAATAGCATATTTCGTCCAGAAACAAGACTGTATGAATTTTATATCTATTTCTTTGACAAAATATTATTGAAAAATTGTTCTAGCTGAAATATTCATTTATTAAGTTTTTATGCCATATTTCAATCGAGTAATGGTTTCGGTTTTCGTTTCATTTTGTCATTTCTTTGCGAAAAAAGAGGAAATAGCCAGTCGAGATTTCTGTGAAATATATGATGAAGGTGAAAAATGTAATTCACACGTATCCTCAGTCAACATATCAACCGATCATATATGAATTGGTGAACTCCTAAGCTCCGATCGTAGGTCTACCTGCCAGATCTAATTTAACCTAAAGCCTGATACGTGAAGCCAAGAGAAATCATGGCTTGTTGACATCTCTATAAGATAGCAACATTAATAAATCATATCGAAAGCCATTTATTATAGAAGCAATCCATCTCATCAAACATACATATATGGGGTTTAAAACATGGAAGTGGGTTGGTAAGGTGAGTGCGTTACCATTTTTTTCGGCAGAAAAAATGTGTAAGTAAAAACCAACCTAGCCCTTTGATAGTCCATGGAAAGGTAACGAAAGTTCTTAAGTATCAACTTAAATGTTTATATGATTGTGGCGTAAACTAAACTAAAAGCCCTAATCGGTAACGCACTCACTACAGATTTTATGAAGTTTTCAGATATTCCCCGTTTTTTTCTACTACTCATAAAGCAGCTGAAAATTATATCAGAAGAAAGTCCAAACTTCGCCATGCGTAATATATATGACGCTTCAATTTTTAGTTAAAATTCTGTTCTTTTTTCAAAAGTTTCTT